GCCACCTACATATTTTCCAAATTTGCCAATGGTAAAGTATACAAATTGAAAATAAAACTAATCGACTTGATTGAATTATTAGTACCTAATTTTTAATTTATGATTTTAGGGAGAGTATAAAATAAAATTTAAAGCTGTATTTCCATGTGAATCTACTGAAAAACACAAGTTACAGTATAACACGTATTTAAGTAAAAAAAGTGCTACTGAATTTGAATTAAAGGGTAATTTAACCTATTTAATTCCATACGACGATTCACTTATCGTGAGTTATTTTTTTATTCCCTTAATAGTTATAGGATTTAGCGGCAGAAATATATTTTTATGTATACTTACGTTTATTTGAATGTGTTTTTATATGATTCTTAATAATAATAATAATAATAATAATTCCAAAATAATTTTCAGTCCACAGAAAACTGCAATTATTTTTATAATTACTTTTTTAGGAATGAGTATTAAAAGTATGATTATTTTACAGTTATTTTTTGGACAGATATGTAATGTTCTACAAAATATTATTTACAAAATTGTATTAATATTTTGCACAATAATATACATTGTTTAGTAAATTACTTATGTATGTTTTATATGGTACCATAAAAAGTTTCAAAATTCCATAAAGCTCTAGCCAATACTAAAAAAGAATATACATTTGAATACTATCTAATTTTTTACCATTTGTACAACATAAATACAAATGTTTTCAAAGAGAAACATTACAGAATCACAATTATTTTTAAAGTAATCTGGTGTAGGACGTTAAGGCCCCTGGATACCGACCATTTTTAAGGAGTTTTGTATAGGCAATATTTAAGAAAAAAGTGGTTTTATTAAATTTCGACCTATGTTAATTAATTTATCGGTTAATTTATATGAGTCAACATTTTGTTTGGCCATTTTGGTCTAAAACGTCAAACAAACACCTCACATTCAACAGACCACATTCAATCTCTTTTTAAAAATAACCTGGTGTAAAAACGATAAGTAAATAGACATATTATTTTCAAACAATTGCAATAATTTGTCATAGTAATTAAATTTATGGTTTACAACATTAATATTTTTTACAACATTAGGTTTAATTGTGTATATTGTGTTCTTTTGTAGCTTAACATCAATATGGCCAAAAGAGGATCAATCGGTGGTTGGGTAGATAACGCCCATGTATATACCACGACTAATGGTTGTTCAAAAATAAAGAGTTTATTTGGAAATTCGTGGCAGTATTATGTCCAAGGATTTCATTTTTCTGATCCCAATTGTCCAATGAAGCCGGTAAAAATTATTATAATATCGTTGACAATTATTATTACCTTTTGATCGAAATCGCCAATAATATAATTCATTCTGAATTTTCAATTAATTTATATTCTGAATAGCTTGTTTTTAATGTATCTCATACAAAATATTTTATACATTTTTTTGTCTTTGTTATAGGGCGTTTATGTGTCATCTGGAATCGACACTAACCAGTTGCTGGATACTAATTTCCCCAAGGTTTTTTTTTACGGGGAGTATAAAATGGTGATAACGTTCACAAGCAGTAGTAACGGGGAAAAGCTTGGCTGTACTGTGTTAGTTTTAGATATTTTACGACCCTGGGAGAATTAAACATAATTATTTGTTTAATTTCTTTAAACTCTGGGTCCGGTTTTATTTTAGATATTAACACTGTCAATAGCTATTATTAACAATACATATTAATTAAATAAAGAAAATGAAAAAAAAAACATTTTGTGTGTGATGAAAATAGATAAATGAAATTATTTCGATAGTATAAATAAATGATTTATATAAATAAAATATGCTATACCTAATCGCACAAGGTGGCGTAGTTATGATTTTGTTCTGGGGGGTGAAGTTCGGTAGAACTATTTTTGAGTATACATAAAGTGGAGGCAACGCCCCCTACACCCCTCATTCAAGTTTACTTTTTTTTTTAATATACTCCTGTACACAGCTATATATTTTATAATATAATATACATTGAAAATTTGAAATAAATTAACTTTATTGACTTAGACAACTCAATAATAGTTTATAAATCAAGATCTATTTTCGAGTTTCTTTCGCTAGTTCATTAATTACTGCCTCAGTGTCAAGTTTTATATTTTTACGAACTGCCAACATACTAGCTAATTCATTTAATTTATCCTGTTTTAAGAGAAATAATAGTTAATTATTATTAAAATGTATTGACAATTATTAAATCACAATACATAAAATGTTAGCATTTTCTGTTCTTACTTCACACATGGTATTTCTTAAATACGTCTTTACTCTTTTTAGAGTGGAAAACATTCGCTTAGGTGTGGTGGTAGATACAGGCAATGTGCACAAAATTTAAAATATATTAGGAAAACATTTTAGAATCACACTCAGTAAGAGCTTGAAGAGCCTATTTTAGAACTGTTTTAGTTTTGCTAATTTTGCGTCTCCACAACTTTAGCTTAACAAGTGAAATATCAACATTTTGTATTCCTGGAGAGTACTTTGTTATTTTAATAAAAGTATCAGTGTTGTCGCTTTACACACGTCACGTGGGTAGTATGGGCATAGAATAAATAAAAATATAATATGAGTGCACATGGTTCATGGCCATAAGTAGTGCGTCAGTAGTTACCACTTATCATCACAATTAAATATTGAAACTGGTGTTCCGCCTGGCTTATTGCGTAAAATAGGTAAAATTTGAAAACTAATATAAGGACTGGGTAGGTTAAAGGTATTATGTTTTTACTTTACACATATGATATGTCATAAATCTAACTTAAAAAAGGCTCAGGGGGGATCTATCCCCATCCCCCCCCCATAACTACACCACTGATCGCACACTTAGATCAAAACTGTAACAACTCTGAAAATTTTTTCTACAAAATGTCGACGGACATATTGCCATGTCGATTATCGCCCTATGAATTTACATATTATTATTTAGTATGAATTGTACAATCTATACTCGATAATATCATAAAAGCATATAGTAGAGATTGTTCGCGTTTGAATGTATATTTTTTTTTAATTTAAAAATTTATGTTGTTGGAAATAACTAGTTTTTTTTCCTGTTGAGTCAAACATGATTTAGAGCGAGGCGCTACAATTTTTTCTATTTCGGTTATGTTAGGTCGACGGCCGCGTACACTTCCCCGACCAAAAGGAATTGGTATATCATCTCAAGGTAAGATCCATTTAACTTAAACATTTAACGAAGATATTATCCCACGCTATATAGATTATTTCAAGTTACAGTGGATTCAACATAAGCAATAAAATTGACCCATTACAGGTTATAAAATAATAATTGTATAGCAAAGTTTTGCTGTTTTAGACAAAATTAAAATATTAAGAAGTACTCTTTTAAAAAAAAGACATATTTTGCCTGATTTTTAAATAAACTAATTTAAAATATTGAGCTTTTTAGGAGAAAGACCAGAAAACTTTAGTGTTTATGGTTTAGTGTTTATTTTCCACAAACTACTAAATTCACAAATGAATGGTCCAAAGCCAGGAATATGGCACTTTACCAGTAAGTGTATTTTACAGTTTATCATCTTTAGCTATGAATATTGAATAATCTTATAATGCGAATTTAATATAAATAAAAATACACAAAATGTATGCTTACAGAAGTCCTTAGGAAGGTTGATAAACTATTTTCGACAAGATATGAACGGCGGCAAGAGCAAATTTATTAATTGAAACTATACAACGTAATATAACCTGAATAATTGTTTAATTCAGAGACAAGACAACAAATCCACATACAGCTCTAAACGCTGATATACCTGTTCTTCTTCCACCTGCAGTTATGAACGGTGCTCTTCGTCCTGCAGTTAGTAAGGAAAACGCCTAAATCAATAATATGCTGTAATTTATATTACTATTTATATTTATTCACTAGAAATGCTTTCATAAATAGATAGCCAATTCCCAGCTCCATATGCTGACATACCTGTAAGAAATTATCAATATGGGGTCTAGTATCTACAGAATTAGTATAGAAGCATTTCATCTATGATAAAAAAAATGCTATAGATTTCACAACAGCTAGGTTGAGGATGTATTATTTTTAGCAGTGGCGTTTCCTTAAAATTTACACAGCCTAGAGATACAGTTCGATAATATAAGAATAAGTCAATAATTCGTTTTTATACTTAATTTCGTACCTCTTTGATTAACTCTGACTTCAAATCTTATATTTTAGGAATGTTTGGTAATAATATTAATTTTATCAATACAAAATTAACAGAACAAATATTCTCAACAAATGTCTTATTTTATTTTAACGAAGTATATAATTATGACATACAGATAGTATATAGATGTAATAGTAATTTTACAATTTATATACATTTAAACTCAATTGCAATATTTGCTAAAGTTATGTAATTAAAGTCAAATGTATCGCGATGACTATTTTCCAATCTACCAATATCATGGATTTATTTCATTGATACACTCTATGAGTAATCTAATGATGTTAAAGTTGAGAGATTTGAACAACCGCCTGAGAAAGTGCATGAATATTCTAGTGTCACAAATTCTTTACCGTTTAGCTTAAATTCTTCGGTAGTCACACATCCGAGAGGCAGACAAAGAGTTACTAACAAAAAAAATAGTTACAAATTTGTTTTTAATTAAACTGCCTGCCATTTTCTGCTTGGTGAGAGGGTAGGGGAGGTACGGTCGTCGGTCCGAAATTCATAAGACATCAAGAACGCGGAGATAATTGCCCAGCCACACGAATCACGGATCCGACAATGAAAAAATATTTCAATGTTCGGATAATATTATTATAGGTACGATTTTTATCGATAGACTAGCATAAAAAAATCAACTGCAAAATGTCAATAATTCAAGCATTGGTTCTACGAGTGATTTTGAAACCGTAATATGAGATACACGTAGTTTAAACTCCAATCGAGTGTGATGTATATATGAAATCACATTAAAAAAACAGCTTTGTCAATAACTCTACGTAGGCGACCAAGTCAAATGTATTTTATTGTTTTACTCGTAATGTACCGTCAAGCCGCATGAAAATCACTTTTAAACAGTATAGCAAGCTGATCGATAGAACATTGTCTTAAAAGTTCTATATAATTTGAAGAAATATTCATACCAAACGTCAGAGATTGTAAGAAAACTTTAAATATATATTTATTTTTGTTTGATATTTATTACCTGTAGATCTGCGATATTTTTTAAACCGTTAAACACAATATTTCAATTAATAGCAAGTAAACAAAATATACTCGTAAGGGCCAAATAAAAAAATTAGGCTCGCAAAAACTTCTTGAAATATGGTCAATTTACTTTCAAACTTGTGTATAATCGTTTCTTTTGACTATTTTTTCAACAGTTTATAATTTAAAAAAATTTTAAATAGAAAAACATGCAAACTCTTATGACGTTTACTCGATTTTTGAAAAGGATAGAATAAATTAGTTTGAATTTGGTCCCATAAGTACTTTTTAGATACTATTCCTGATTTGTAGACTTTTCACTTAAAGATATCGATTTCAGCGGTTCAGAAGATATCGTACTCCAGATACAAAAACAAAATATAAACCATTATAATTGTAAGAACGATACCTTATATCGGAAAAAATAATTAATTGTCGTAGTGTGTCGTTTTGATGTTATTGACTTTTATGTTATTATTATTTGCAGCTAAAAATGAAACTTTACTGTGTTTTATTTTCCTTTGCCTTTGCAAATATATTGGCAGAAACTATAGGTGATTGTTTCTTTTTTACACGTTCCTAAACGAGTAAATTTAAAATCTAATTAAATATTTAACTTTTATTGGTAGATAATTATAAGATGGAAGTTGTCATTACTAGTCAGTAACACATTCCTTTAATACGAAATTACTAACTAAAGCTTTTTAACTAATTACATTTATTTTTGTACATATGTTTTAAATAACAAATTACAGACGAACTTATCAGGCAAGCTAATGAAGCAAATGGTAAAGTATATATAAATAAATATTCTGATAAATATACATATATTTGTTATATTCAAATGTAATTCATAAATTAAAAATTACTGTTCATCAATCTCAATAGTGTGGGCGAGAGGATCGGTGTCGATCCGAGTCGGTCCTCCATAAACTTTTTTGTTAGCTGCAAATTTAAGTTTACAAATACACGTGTATTATACCGGGTGTTCAATCACACCTGGTGTTAGAGGATGTAGCATAAGTCCGTTCTCGAAATTGTTCGTCGTTACCCCACTCCCCGGAGGACTAAGACCGTCCTAGAGTATTCGTCTTGAACCTAGAGACCCTGGACTTGCGGCCACCTCTTAGGGGCACTTAAGCACCTACATACTAAAAGTAAAAGTGACCTTCCCCCCCCCCAATTTTTGTTTTTTTTGTAAACGTCATAACTCTGTGGCAAATGGACTTAGAGACTTGATTAAGACGTTGACAATTTCGGTTACGAGTACCCTAACTGGTACGTCATCATTCTAGGAGTCTACGGTCCCTTCCAAGGGACCCCCCTAAGTTTTGGGCCTAGAGCCCTCAAACTCTATAACCACCTAACCAATCGTAGGCGATTCCTTCGGGGTGAACCACAAAAGCCAGGGCACACATTAAGAGTGCGTGACATGTATATAATACTATACATGTCATGTTTGTAACAGTAATAGGTAATAGTACGAAACTTATGAAGATTAAATTATTTATACATATATAGGTGGATTTTAAGTTATTGAAGTTCAAGGTTTACGGAAAAATGAAAAGTGTTGTAAATTATTCTACTGTACTACACCACACGACCTTAATTTTAAACTTTAATAACTTAAAAAGCAATAATTTAAACTGGTTATAGAATAATTCTATTTTTTGGTGAAGAGATCATAGATTGTGCACAACTGTGATCATATTGCATAAAAACTATACAGAATAAACCTATTAGTAGTTTAACCCTATGAGACGTCTCAAAGTGAAATTTTCTATGCTTTACTTGGAACATACTTTTTATAGGTAGTAACAAATAATAATGTAACCAACAGAGTGATTAAAGTTCAGGTTAATCCTAGCCTAATACTTCATATACTCTTTTCGATTTCTGTTAAGATTTTATTTGAAAATTTTTTTATAGCTCAAACTATTATGTATTCATTCTAGGTCTTCCGAATGTAATAAGAAGAATTTTCGAAGAAAATAGACAATATTCTCTAGGTAAATCATAATTATATAATAAAAAAATAATAGTCAAACTTAGCTAATTATTGTATTTTATTTTACTCGACACATCTGCTTCAGTGCATCTATTTTATTATAAAATCTGCACTCGGCTGGTTTTGCTTATCGAACGAAAGCAGTCTTGAGTGCCTCGAATTTATGTATTGCGTTTAATAAATATTATAGCATGAAACATGTTTTGGCTAATAACAAAAAGTGTTAATTTTTAAACATAAATTAACTAGATCATACTACACAAGCGGCGGCTTGTACGACATTTTGCAATTGATATATTATATATATATATATAAATATTTACTCGGATTTACGAGTGTGATTTGTATTTATCAAGATTTTTTAAATGTTCTAATAAAATGCCTTTGAGCGATAAAAAAAATCTGCACTCTTATTTATACAGTGTAGAAACAAGCACATTTCTTCGGATTTAGATATTTACTTAATTTCCATTTTGACTTAATTTCTCCATTTCTTAATTTATAGTTAAAATATAAAATAATCCAGTTTTAGTTTATAATCTACGTATATTTTAATAATTTCAGAGGATTTAGTTTATTTGTGGACTGTGCCGGGTAATCTTTTTTATTGACAATTAAAGAAGTCTTTCTATTATATTAATTGATATTTATTAAGTTATTTTTTTTTTAATTTCAGATCAAGCAGCCATTAAGGCCGAAAAATTATCTAGTAATATATTATTCCATTATCATATTTATTATAGTTTACGCAAAAGCATATTAAACAAATTTATACATACATATTAAGGTGGCGCAAAAAAAAGCTATCTTCGAAATTTTAATGGGCTAACATTTAAATTTGTTCTATACGTTAAAAAAGAGACTTGGTGAAAATTTGAAGTTAAACATTTTTTTTTTATTCACAATTAAAGAAGTCTTTCTATTATATTAATTGATATTTATTAAGTTTTTTTTTTTTTAATTTCAGATCAAGCAGCCATTAAGGCCGAAAAATTATCTAGTAATATATTATTCCATTATCATATTTATTATAGTTTACGCAAAAGCATATTAAACAAATTTATACATACATATTAAGGTGGCGCAAAAAAAATCTATCTTCGAAATTTTAATGGGCTAACATTTAAATTTGTTCTATACGTTAAAAAAGAGACTTGGTGAAAATTTGAAGTTAAACATTTTTTTTTACTGGTCGAGCTAAGAGAACCCACTAAAGTACCTTTACTGACAAGCAATTCAAAAATATAACTTCTTCTTGTGATTTCGAAGAGGTCTGCGAATTTCTTCTTAATAGTATTTACTTTAAAAACAAATAACAGCTATACGTTACACATCTCTACCAATGTTGCTAAGGGTTTAAGTCATTTTTTTAAAAATAAATATGAAATTTTATTGACTGTATTGTTATTCAAAAATGTATTGCAGGTTCTAGTCAAATTCCAGATTTAAATCTTAAGCCACCCCAAATAGGTAATCATACATTTATTTTAACTATATATATCTTAGGATATAGCGATGTATAAGAATATATAAGGATAAAATATTTTCGTTAGGTTCTTTAGTAACGCTGTCGATTTTTCCGGTTGTGTGCCAGAGTAAATACATAAAATGTCAAAATCAAATACTTGACATAATTATATATAATATAATAAATTTTCGATATTCAATATTAGATTCTACTCTGATTTCTATAAATATTCAATAAAAACGTTTTTCGCTTTGCTAAGAATTACTCTAGTGATACACTAAATTAAAAACTTAATGTAAACATTTTTTTTTTAATTTCAGCGGCCGAAAATATAGAAAGTAATATATAGATCATTATTGTATTAATTAAAGGCATTATATCAATATGATTTATACATATTATGGGGTATTCCACGCAAAGTGTTCCCACCTAAAAAATGTTTGGTCTCCGATTCCGATGAAACTTAGTAAAATTAATATACTATCCTAGGAAATTCTCAATGTGAAATGAGGAGTGGTAAATATGACTGGTTGCTGAGGATTTTCAAATGTTGGACTTTTTTATGTCCGCCCGTTTTCTTTTAATTTTTACACATATAAAAAGTGGCCGCTTGGGGTTAAAAAAATAACGCGTTTTTTAACATTTTTTCCGTAATTTACGATAAAAATATTTGAAATTTCGACAATCCAATTTTTACCACAAAAATATCATTTTTAAAAATATTTTTGCAAATTTCGGCTCTTGCCGAAATATGTTTGCACTTAAAACTTATAGAAATACATACAAATTTACACAACTTCTTAAATGATCTTACTACCAGTAGTCTAATGCAGAACTTAATACTATAATCTTATCGAATATTCAATATTAGATTCGTCTGTGTTTCTTGCTAAGAATTATCCTAATCGTACTCTTAACTAAAAACATGATGTGCAAACACAAAGTCTTATGGGATGTTAAAAAATTTGGAAAAATTAGGAAAATATCTATAAACATATTGATTTCTATCGTAACAATTAATGTAATTAACATGACGTATTTTGTTTTTAATTATAGAATGCATAGAATATGAGCATACTTTGCAAAACGCAATAATCGAGAGCATTGCTTGTAAATATAAAATTAACAATATTTTAACCGGTCAATTCATGAAATTGATAATAATTATAATGTAATTAACACAAAGTTCTAATGTAAATAAAAACATTGTAAAATAAACATTGAATTTAAGTTCGAAGTAATAAAGTTGTATATTTTTTGCTTAAAGTTTTGACGGTCGTTTGTGACATAACTCAAATCGTTAATGCAAACAATACTACTAGATCAGTTTAAAGTTCATGCAACATTTTACAATTATTTATTTTGGTCTAAGTAGTCTTATTTTGAAGTGACTTCTATAGATAAAAAGAAACTTATAAATTATGCATTAACTGTATGATAAATTAACATTTTTATTACAGGTATCGAGTCGAAGCCTGCTGCTGAAAGCCTAGGTACTGAAGCATTTATCGATAGTCGTTAGTAGCCTTAAGATTAAAATTAGGATCGCGTTTTTTACAAACAACCTAAATGGCAATTAATTTTTTTAAATTTGTTAGCTATACCGCGTTTTAATTATTTTTACAGAGAATGAAATCAGCAAAGCTGATTTGCAGATTGATAGTCATAGAAGAAGACTTATGGTTAAAAAACATCTTAAATGTTTAATGGATGCTACAGGTAAATATAATATGTAAAAAGTGGGTTAAAGTATTTTATATATCAGGTGTATCTAAAGTCCCACTGAGAAGAAAATATTATTTATATGTTTTTTGTTTAATTATGCATAGCTACAAACATCCCATGTATTTATTGGCTGAGCTACTTGTCGAAGTTTAAACATAGTTATAATCAATCTTGATGATCTTTGCATAAGCTTCGTTGGTAGTTTCTAACGTCTCAAAAGTTTGCAAATTTATGCGTAATTAAAAAAAAAAACATAGAAAATCTTTTTTGTTGTTTAAATGAAAAATAAAGAATGCCAATAGTACAAATTTGATCGGACAGAAGTACCAAATAGCTAGCACAATCGCATGTTAAAATATTTAGATTTTGTATTTTAATTTACCCTTTGTTCCTTTTAAAACCTATAGAATCATTTTTTACAAGTATTTCTTAATAGGTTTTATTTCACAATAATATTATAAACCAGGCTGTCATTCATACATTTAATAAAGTATGACTATTAGAATACTAATGACATTTTTCACAGTAAGACAAAACAGCTTCCAAAAACAATGTTTTGTTTTTTTGATATTTTTCTTTTATAAGTATGATAAATCAATGAATTTGAATTTAAAAAATGTATTGATTTTGAGTAACATTGCTGTAAAAATTACAATATGGACACCATGTGTATGGTATTTTTTTTTTTATTAAAAATGTAATTGGTATGCCTTGTTTAAAGAAAACTAGTTACTAATAAGCTAAAATAATTAATACGCCCTTTACCACAAAAATAATACTTTATAGCGTATACGTATTTCGGCAGCAATGTTATCGTCATCAGCCCATACAATCGACTGAGTTGCTCAGTAGCTACATTTAATATTTAATGTTTTATTTTTAGATACTCGTCATAAACCCAGTCTTATTGTAAAATGTTATTTAACTGGATTATTCAGAACTTCATTGCTTGAAATCAACGAATCAGATAACTTTATCAAATCTGCAAATATTGACCCTGAAGATAATTGTTGCACACTTACTTCTGCAAAAAATGATTTTAGTTTCTACCCAATGAAAATGACTGACGTACAACAATATTTGCCGGACAGTAATGATATGATAAGATTTGAAATGATAGAACCTTAATTTCTGTAAGCTCAGCATTATACTTGTTATTATAATTAAATTAACTATTTTTATGAATAATAAATACATATAGGTACAGAATGCAGAATGCTATTTTCATTATATTTTATTTTATTTTCATATCACACTAATATACAAGTACTAATATACAAGTATACAACTAATAAACTACGACAGTGTTAATTATTTTAATGTACCTATTTCATAACAAACAGTTTTGATCACCATTTTTTGGGTATTTGGATTTTTTACGACTTTTATATTATTTCAATTTTTTTACTTTTATTACTGTTTTATATGTATTTTAAAAAATCCGAAATTACCTCGATGTTTGACCTTCATTTTTGTTGTGTATAACGAATTGATGATTCATATTTTACAATGGCGACATGACATTTTTTGTATCCATATGGAAAAAAATACTTTAATTAAGTGTTGTAAATCTTCGAAGATAATGACTTGGTCATAGTTAAGTTAACCTTGTAGTATCGATAATACTCATTGTATTATGGATTGGATGGTGGAAAATCTAAAATCGATTGGTTAATGAGATTTTTTGAAAAAAATTAAATTTAAAACATTTTTATCATCGATGTAGTCTTGTTTTGTATCTGTGTACACTGTAATTTTTTTTAATACTAAACTTCATTTACACTGAACCAGATGTGAGAAACGAAAGAGTTACTAGCATTTTCTGTAGACATCATCGTCCACCCGAATGTCGTGTGAAATGAAATCATGTAATACAATGGGTGGTTTGATACAATAATTTACTATGTATTATATCTATTAATCACACGTTCAAAACACTTGTTTTTATTCTGGTTGTATTACAGAGTAAAATCATTGCCTAAACATACTAAATAGCTCTGCGCTATAGAAAATAATATGCTGCGCGATATTCTACGGTCGGTAAAGTGCGATAAGAGAAATTAAATTATGAAAATTGTACATTACTATTACTTTGGTTTCTACTTTGGAGAACGTCGTCGACGAGCGATAACTGAATGCCACGGGAGTTGTGTGAAATAACCAGGTTTTCCGTCAAGTTTAAAAAAAAGCAATATTAAGCTGAATAATAACAAATGATAAATAATTATTATAAGAAATGTGTGCTCTTTATTTTATTGTTTTGATTTATGAAAATATCAACTTTTAATTTCAATTTTCCTCGTACATTTTAATACAACTTTGAAAAACAAATAATGTACTAAAAAAACATACTATTTATAATATTTCAAATGTTTAGTATAATTTTGTATTTTGCATATTTATGAGTTTAATTAAAGTACTTTTTTATCGTTATTATTATAGAGATTACATGCTAAAAAGTAAATTGTATTAATACATTTTAAAGTATTGTAAAATTCTTAATATTTTTATAGGTATTCTGGTAAGTTTTTTTTTTTTGTATTTTATTTGTTGAGGACCATTTATATATTTTTTTTAAATTTTAACAATAAAAAAGCCAAATCAATTTCAAGTAAACGCATCGATGCGAATCAGTAATTCGTATTTTCAAACCATTAAAGTCCAAACCAAGTACAGTATAAACTAGCATAGTAAGAAAGTATTAAAGCGAGGTGGATTGTTGAAAAATGAATATCAAAGCGTTTTCATTTTTAACTGATTTTTCCAGATAAGCCAGTACAGTGGGGTCGAGGCATAATGAGATCAAAGCATAGTGGCATAATATAATATGATTAATTTCTTTTTTAAATAAGAATTTTATTTCTCTGAGCAACTTACCCTCCCACCACCCCCTCAAATTTGATTTCTTGTTCCACACCTGCTTGGAATCATATATTATTATTATTATTAAGAATTATATAAAATCACATCTAAATAAACTCTTTAAAGAGAAACTTTAACATTTATAAAATATTAAAATATATAAATCATAATACAGATAATATATTTTAATAGTATTGTATAAAAATATTTTTGAGGTTTCCGTCATAACAAATAGTGTGGATACATATTTTTGGATTTTACTATGATTTATTGATCCTAAATAAATGTAAGTATATCATATAAAATATATATTTCTGCAGCTAAAGGATTTATTTTTATGGAAACATAAAAACTAACTCACGCTAATTGAATCGTCGAATGGAATAAGAAAGGTCATATTGCCTCTTAATTCAAAATTAGTGGCACTTTTTTTACTTAAATACGTGTTATACTGTAGCTTGTGTTTTTCAGTAGATTCACATGGATATACAGCTTTAAGTTTTATTTTATACTCTCCCTGAAATCGTAGATTTAAAATTAGGTACCAATAATTCAATCCGGTCAATTAGGTTTATTTTTCAATTTGTTTTAATTTCAATTTGTGTACTTTACCATTGGAAAATTCAGAAAGTATGTAGGTGGCTTTATTCCTGTTGTATTTAAAACACAGCATGCAATCAGTTTAACAATAAGCAGAAACATTATTACGGCAAATAGCTTCAAGCAAATTAAATTCCAGTACTAGTTCTGCTTTCAATTCTACTACAGTAGATATCTTGTTACAATATTGTACAATATGTTTAATTTAGTTAGGTATAATCAACGATCAGCATCATTACATTATTATTTAATGCAACGTTTGTGACATTGAACAGTGAAAAAACGTTATTGTAATATTAATAATAAGTATTATGTAAAAAGATTGTATTTTTATTTGGTGTACTTATTAATAAAATAATAATAACAAAAGAAACTTGTAATTTGGCCTAACTAAACTAAAAATGTAGTTCTCATAGATCTATATGAATTACATACCATCAAAATTTTTCCCGTTTTTTGGTTTTTCCTTAAAAAAACAATTTCGATTACTGATTTTTGTGTAAGCTGTATAAATGTAAAAATTGTTATAGATGTATTTATTTGTAAAAAAAATTAACGCTATCCATTCCCCTTTAAGTAGTTTGGGGCTCTTTTTTTAAGTGCGTAAAAATTTCGAACATCTTTATACCGGTTATCAAATTGTTACTATTGGACATCGGTAAGGGTAGTTTAAAGCACATTTAACCACGTAGAACTCCAAATAAACTTATAGAAATTTTTACCCATTCAATTGAATTTATTTACGGTTGAGTGGCAAAACATCGCCTTTAATAATAACTAGATGACGGTGACTGCTGATAATAAATTAATTGCACGTTATAATTGGCGAGAGAACTAATTAAATGCCATAATGTAATTTATGTATTATACGTCGTTGCCAACAAATAAAAATCTGTCTTCATATTATAGAAGTCATGAAATAATGTAAATTGAGTTTACTTGGACGGAAGTCGAAGTTTATTACATGATTTTCTTTAGCTCGCTAACACGTACGTACCTACGTTTGTACGGGTATTTTCAAATCTTGCAAAATCAATTAAACCCACTTCCCGATGTCGTAGAGGGCTGAAATTTAACACAGACACTCATTTTGGATGACAAACAATGTTCTGTCAAAATATTGGGACCCAGACATCTAGGTGGCAAATGCCGGGGGGTCAAATGTGGGGTCATTTCACTTAAACTTCATTTTCATTTTCAAAATGCATTTTTTTTTTTTAATCTTCTAAAATGAACTTGGTTGTCTATTCAACAATTATTAAGTACCTTTGATAGGACTAAAAAGTAAAAAAATAAATAAATAAATTTAAAAAAACTTTTTTAAAAAATAGTAAAAAGTGAGCTAAAAAGTAAAAAATAATTTTATTACAAGAACAATTTACCAATCATTTGTAGAACATTTAATTTAAAATGTCAATTGCTTTGAAAACAACCGAAAATTAACTACAATTTTAAATAATGTTAAAATCTTTAATTTTTGACTAAAGAGAAAAGCGTGAGCCCTATTCAACAACGTCCAAATTCATTGTGTTAAGTATTATAAAACTTATGTATCATACACTAATAATAAACCAATTTTAAATTACAAAAAAACTTACAATATAATATATTATCTGATAAATTTATGAGGAACTTTTTTGAATAGGGCCCACGCTTTTCTCTTTAGTCAAAAATTAAAGATGTTTTAAATTATATAAAATTGTAGTTAATTTTCGGTTGTTTTAAAAGTAATTGACATTTTAAATTAAATGTTCTACAATTGATTAGTAAATTGTTCTTGTAATACAATTTTTTTAAACTTTTCAGTTCACTTTTTACTATTTTTTAGAAAAGCATGTTTTTTCTGCTATAGTTCTCATACTATAACAATTTGGGCCAAGTAATAGGAATATAGTAGAAAAACTATATTTGTTATTATTATTTTATTAATGCGTACACCAAATAAACGTACATTTTTTTTACATCATACTTATCATTAATATCATCATAACGATTGTTCACGGTTCAATGTCACAAACGTAGCATTAAATAGTAGTTTAATGATGCTGATTGCTAAGTAAATTATACAGTTAAGCATTAAGCATTAAGTAATAAAAACAATAAGTGTGGCCAAGTAATAGGAATATAGTAGGAAAACTATACAAGGTGTTCAACTTATCTTGAAACTCTCAATCTCTTACTGGGGGTTTAATAAGAAATTTAATTCTTTAATTAATTAAATTTTTTTAAATTATTTTACATAGTATTTTTATGCACTCAAATAGAGAATAATGTACTAAAAATGTTGACTGGTCGATAACCATTTTTGAAGTTATTGAAGTTTCAAGTTCAGGGCAGGAGGAAAGGTGGATTGTAGTATTATCTTTATCTGTGCGCATTTCCCAACCGCTTTCCCCTCCTATCATAACTTTTAAACTCAAATATAACATTAAAAATAGTAATCCAAAACTGGTTATCGACCAGTCAACATTTTTGGTACCTACATATTATTATCAATTAAAAAAGTTAAAGACATTTTAGAGCAAAGTTAGAAAGTATTAAATTGAGGTGCTGTTTTTACAAATAAGCATCAGCGTTAACTTGAAAGTGATTTCATCCGAGAGGACTAGTACAGTAGAGTATAGGCATAATGAAATCAAAGCAACGAAGGACGGAGAGGTCACAGGTCTACAGGAATTATTATAAATAAAAGTGATAAAATTGAATAAAATCACTTTCAAATAAACGCTTTGATGCTCATTTGTAAATACAGAACCTTAATTTAAAACTTTCTAATTTTGCTGGTTTATACTGTGCTTG